TATTTTTTTACACCGGATGCCCTTCCTGACGCAATCACAGACCACTGAGCTACCACAGCCCTCTGTGTGGAGCAGAGAGCTGCTATCTGGGGCACCTGGGGGAGCCGATGGTGGGGATTAAGGGCCTTGCTCAAGGGCCAAAGGTGGGGTAAATGAGGGTGGAGGCAGGTGTTGGTGTTTCACCTTTCCCAACCACATTTTGATGTTGTCGGTCTGGGGAGTTGAACCAGCGACCTTCCGATGACAGGCCCATCTTCTCTAACCTCTGCTCCACCATTCCCAACCACTGGTTTCTTTCTTTAGTGCTTTATCTTTTTATGTTGGAACAGTTTGTAAGTTAGTGTTAAAGGGATAGTTAAGGTCTTTTGAAGTGAAAACAAGTCTGTACAAATTTCATCCTTCAATTGTTGGTTTGAAAGTTAAATACCCAGCCTCAGCAGCATGCCAAAGTGTCCTTGAGCAAGAAATTGAACCTCCACTGCCTCCAATGTGCAGCCACGTTCTTGTTTTTAGTTTTCTACACCGCCCTACAAGCTAGCTTTTTTATTGTTACTTTTCCTTTTAAATACCATTTTATTTTCACTTGTTAAAAAAAAAAAATCTCTGTATGCATTCTTTATGATTGTCTATTATTGTCTTTGTTGTCAACTGTTGTCATTACTCTGTTAAAATCAGGTCTTTCTTGTAAATGAGTCCCCGAGGCTCAGTGGGATTAACCTGTATAAATAAAGGTTGAATGAATGAAAAAAATAAACTTATGAGTGTATGAGTGGGAATATAAGAAGTACTATAAATAGTGTGTAAAATATATACTGTATAATAAAAAGCACTGCATGAGGGTGTATGTGTGAGAGAAAGAGTGAGTGAGACCATTTGTAAAGGGTTTTACAGAACTTGGAGCAGTCGAAAAAGCATTATAAAGTGTGGTTCATTTACAATTAAAAAAAAAAAAAAAAACATACCGGTACCTATTATGGACAGCTCTTTGCATTTTACAGAAATAGAGTTTAAGACCAACCACATTGGCAAGCTAATAACTAGTCCAAAACCATACCAAAGTTGATTGCTGCTGTCTTAAAACAACTCCATCCATCAATTATCTTTACCCACTTTCTCCTTTTCGGGTCACGGGGGTCACTGGTGCCCATATCCAACAACCACTGTATGAGAGGTGGGGTACACCCTGGACAGGTTTCTAGTCCATCACAGGGACACATGGAGACAACTGAGACAAACAACCATTCACTTTCTTACTCACAGCTAGGGACAATTTAGAGTTACCAATCAGCCTAACATGCATGTTTTTGGTCTGTGGGAGGAAACCGGAATGCTTGGAGAAAACCTGCACATGCACGGAGAGAACATGCAAACTCCACCCAGAAAGGTCCCAGGCTGGGATTTGATCCGACAACCTTCTCACTGAGAGGCGGCAGCTCCACCAACTGTGCCACTGTGCCCCCCTTAAAACAACTTGTCTCAAACTTGAGTTTGTCGATTCCTACAAATATTTGGGTATCTTGGTCGATTCGCATCTCTCTTTGAAGCTCCATGATGAAAGCTTGGTAAAGAAACTGAAAGTTAAACTGGGTTTCTTTTTCAGAAATAGATCCTGTCTGAACTCTGAACACTAGGAAATGCCTTGTAACTGCAACTTTCCTTCCCTCCATTGACTACGGTGACATTATTTACATGAATGCCCCTACAAGCACCTTGCAGATGCTGAACGCTGTCTATCATGGTGCGCTAAGAGTCATAACTGGCTGTAACTACCGTACCCACCACTGCACCCTATATTCATTGATTAACTGGTCATCATTAACTTCACGCAGACTCTCCCACTGGTACATTTTCATCTTTAAATCACTTCTTGGTCTGATGCCTTCATACATCTCCTCCTACATGTCTCTGCGTGAGTGCAGCTACAGCGTGCGCTCTCAGGACATTATTACCTGCAGTGTTCCCGCAGTGAGGACTGAACTAGGCAAAAGGGCCTTCTCCTACTCTGCTCCTGTTTCCAAGAATATCTTACAAAAATATCTGATCTCAACTTTGGCCTCTCTAAGTGGCTTCAAACATCTGCTAAATTCATGGCATAAACCAATGCAGACATGTTCCCGTTTTTAGTATTTTACATCGCTTTACAACCTAGCTGATTTTGTTTTGTTTTTTAATAGCATTTTTTTTGTTCTTCTAATTTGTATGCTTTTTATGATTGTCTATTGTTGTCTTTGTTGTCCATTGTTGTCATCACTCTTTGTTAAAATCAGGTCTCTCTTGCAAATGAGTCCCCAAGGCTCAATGGGATTAACCTGTCTAAATAAAAGTTGAATGAATGAAAAAACATTTCAAAACATTTCATTGCTGCAAATTTAACACTACATGGCTATTTACATTTACATACAGAATCCTTTGGTGTTTTCTGAGTGCTAAGAACAGCAGAAGTGGCTAGCTAAAGCACTTGCAGCCTGGGGGCATTTCTGTCAAAAACATCTTATTATTTCTGTTGTAATAATTATATAAAGTAAAACCGATGTATCAAAAAGTTTTAAAGTGTTCACATGAACCACTACAACATTAGATTATTATGTAAATAACATCAATCCACTTTGGTCTTTGTTAGCTAGCTGCTAGCATATCAATTCAGCATACCTGCCAACCATCCCAACTAGGGTGGGAGAGTCCTGGATTTTGCATCCCCTGTCCCACATCCCACATAAAGGGGGGTGGGGGGGGAGACACACCCAAGTGTTCTGCATTTGACAAGTGCTGGCTTAGCCTACCTGTTCATGCCATGTTTGTGCGGGAGGAGGGACACACAGGGGGTTGTTTCATGGGCTTCCTGCAACAGCAGGAGTGAGGTTACCATAATAAGCCTATATTAGATGTAGAGTGCAACTTCTCAACTTTCAGAAGCCGTATAATTTTTAAAAATAGCTCAAGCTATTGCTAAGCCATGGTAATGCAAAGTGATCTTTTTTTTAAAAAGTGTCATTGGCAACACGCTTGGAATAAAACTTTTGTTGAAGTTTACGTATGTTTATTTGTTGATTCAGCCATTAACCATAATTTATTATGTTAAAAGTTTTTTTGGACAAATGATAGACTCATGCTTTGTAGACACAGATATGGTGCTCGTAGCGTAGCTTGTTCTATATTACCTCCCTGGTAGGTTTCTCAGGGTAGCTTGTTCTGTTACTAAATAATGTTATATGGTGCAGAAGATATTTTGCGATAAAAGTAAAATATGATGCATTCAAAACAAACCCATGGTTCTCAAGTGTAAAAAAATTAAACACAATAAACACATAAGGATAATGCAATTTTCAAGTTTGATCTCAGATAAAGTTCAGCTTAAAGGCCAGGCTGTTTATTGTTCCACCTTTCAATAAATACATAATCTATTCAATTCATTTTATTCAATTCAGTTTATTTCTATAGCACCAAGTCGCAACAGAAGTCATCTCAGGACACTGTACAAAAACATTTTACGTTTTTTTTTTTTTTTTTTTTCAAGGAATAGTCAAATGCACTTCATATAGCTAGAAAATGCATTGTTTTGAGTTGATTTTTAATTAAATTTCTGGAGCGGGGACCCCTACACGACTGCTTTGCGTCACTGGCACTCGTGAAAACTCATTACTATTCGCAAATGTGGGCAGCTATGATTCAGTCAGATGTAAACTGTGTTGCTCCTAACTAAAGTTGTTCAAAGAGCTATTTTCAATAGTTAAGAAGTTAGTTGTTCATAACTTATTTTCACAGAACCCTTTTGTGGTAATAAATTGTGTGTTTTGTGAGTTTAGCTTTACTGTTAATTATATTTACTGTTCTCATCCTTGTTTTCATCTGCTCACTGTTATTTTTAGGTACTTATTATCTACTAGATTTATTTACTCTAGTTGCCCAGCTTTCTTGTTCTCTTGTTCTCTCCTTCATTTGCAAACGCCTGCTTTCTGTATTCAACCCACCTGTAATGCATTCACTAATCCACGGTCATTGCAGTTTCTTGTCAGAGCCTCTGCTTACTTTAGCCTTGTCCTGTTATTTGGTTGTGTTGTTTAATTTATATTCATATGTTCTAGTTTAGTTAATACTTGCTTTTACCAAACTTGTTTTTATCAAAAAATTGACAGTGAAATTACCCAAATGGAAACCATTTGGGTAATTTCAACCACCATTTAATGACAAAACCCCCTTCAAATGATCTGAGTTATCTTTTTTAAATATCTGATGAAAAACATTCCTTTCAAAATGGTCAGGTAAAAGGATTAGGCAGAAAGTTATATAAAAATATCCAATTTCAACCAATTGTTAAAACCCCTCAGAAAAATCCGATGAACGGTTTTTCAGAGCCATTTTCAAAATTTAAGATACTGACTCCTAAGCAAAACTGAATAAGTGGTGGATCAAAACTTTCACAAAACTGTAAAATTTTGTATACTTCAGTAATGCAATTACACAGATTTTCAATGATTCAGTAGCTTTATTTAACCCAGTTCTTTTAGTAGCTATTTTCTTTTGACATAGATGCTAATGATGAGTTGCTGACAAATTCACTAACACCTAGACTCACTTATTCACTGAGACAAAAATCATGTCCTTTGAGCACATGATGTCACAACCTATTTCATATTCTCAAATATATCAAATACATTTCTAGTTGCTCTTTCTTACTTTCATGTCTGACTTCCCAATAATAGGAAACACACGACCCAGCTTGATATCTTGCCTAAAGCCTATAATGTTTAAAAAAATCATACTCTAAAACATGCAACCTTGTCTAATTTGACATTGTTAATACATCTTATTGAATTCAGTACAAAAACCAAATTAGTGGTGTTTAAGAATGGCGTCGCAAAATGAAATTTAGAACTCCAGGGGGTTAATTGACACTAATTGCATTTGAACAGCCAAGAAGAATTTGACTACAGCACAAAAACAATGTTCTGACTTATAGTTCAGAGAGCTGAAATCCTTTTTTTGTTGTTGTTTCTTGCAGGGGTATGTGCACAGAGTGGTGATATGAGTCTGTGCAGACTTGTCAATGCTGCAACTTCCTCACCTGCTCCTGCTGCAGAGACTTCACAACGGGCCTGCCCAACACACCAGAAGAACGCTCCTACGCCGCCATCCCTCCCCTTGGCCCTTGGCACTCATCACTCTCTGAGCCTAACTGTGGCCCCCTGCTCTCCATCCAGTGATGCTTCAACTCTAGTCCCCAACCTTCAACGTGCACCCACATCACTTCCCAACCCAGCTGTAAGCTCCTGGAGTCCAACAGGAGACACACAGAAAACATCCCCTACACTGGCCATTACCCTTCCTCTATCAACTACAATGATGGAGCCCAGCACAGTGTCTGTCCTGACAGAGGAGTGTCTTCTTCAGCCAGCCAGAACCTGCCTCGGTTGCTTTATAGAAACCCGTGATGCCTCTGACCCTAATTCCATCCAGAATCCACCCCATGATCCTAACAACAACTCTGATGCAGACCCTGGGTTGAGCGTTAGGATAGGGGATGTGAGTCGAGAGGATTTCTCTGACATCAACAACATCAGCATTCAGTGCCTAAGCCATGCAGGGGAGGCAGTGAGTCACTACGGGGAGCAGCTCCTCTCTGACCAGCTGCTTAGCTTTCCTCTTCCAAAAGCCCCAAGTGAGGGCAAGAGAGCAGACGGAAACAAAACAGAGGAATGTGATGACCCAGAAGATGAGGCAACTGCCAAGAACTTGTATGAGGGACTGTTACTGGACAAAGTCAGTGGAGAAGAGGTATTGCTGGCTAATGCTAGTCAGGACTGGGGATACTTTGAGTCCTTCATCAGCGAGAGTAAGATGGAACTGTTGGACCTTTGCTCTAAAAATGAGCTATCAGTCAACCTCTTTTCTGAGGAGGATGTTGACAATCTCTTTGATGATGAAGACGACGATTCAACGCTAAGCAGCGACGTCTGCTCGCTTAAGATTCGCTACGAGTCTTTCCAGGACAACATGAGGGAAAAAACAAATGTGCTCCAAGAGGAGACACAGTTCAACTTCTTCCCCACCCTCCTGGCCAACTGTGCCAAAAAAGAGGAAGGAGCACCTGTCTTGAGGAGGAGCGTTGAAGAGACGCAGACCAAAACTGAGGAGCTAATTGGGGAGACAGCGCTAGAAGGAAAAGGTGGAGAGTGCAGTGGTAGGAGCCCACTTGATGGCTCTCAAGACTCCCCCATGTCCACCTCCAAGGTCAGCTACCTAATAGACTTCAATTCCACAGAAGAGTCAGGAGAGTTCAGCGATGACAGCTCCTGCACTGGCTCCTCCTTGGATACCCTGCAAGACGGCAAGTTTAAAAAGGCCCACTCTAAGAGATTTCTCAGCCCCTCAAACCCTCTCAACTATGGGCTACGCTCCAAGAGAAAGGTTCGATACAGCGATGATTACTTGTATGATGTTGACTCACTTGAAAGTGAAAAGAATGCTGAAAAAAAAGAGAAAGCTCCCGCTGGTCAGAAAGAGGAGGAAGACGTTGACTGGTGCCCCAAAAAACGTCGGAAATCCAGTCGAAAAGAGCCACCCGTCGTCATCAAGTACATCATCATCAACAGGTTTAAAGGGGAGAGACTCATGTCAGTGAAACTGGGCAAGCTGAACCCTGTGGATGCGACTGTGAGCTTAAATGCCGACACAGTGAGCAAATATGAGACACTGGCTCCTCTGAAGGATTTCTGGCAGGAGAAGCAAAGAGAGAGACAGGAACGGCTTAAGCTGGTTGCCAGAGATAAACAACAACGTGGTTTTCATCTAAATGGACGCCATCATCGGCCTTTTAATTCTAGTCATCCCAAAAGGAAATACAAGATTGCAAACAGGCTTAAGGTTCAGAGAATTCAAACTGTGGAGCAATCAGTAACAACACAGGGTACCTTTCTCTCTGATCAGAGCCACACAGGTGTCAGTAAAGAGGACCCCACCCCCACCGTAGAGGAAATAATAGCAGCCCCAGGCCTCCCAGACACATTAGACACAAACTTCATCACACACACAATCACAACCAAGAGTCGCTCCCAGGAGCTAGCAGAGAGGGAGGGAAGAAGACTGGGAGGAAATAAAATAGTCAGGATAAGGAAATTCAAAAGTGAAGCCAGGCTGAGGAGTAAGAAAATGAAAGAGGCAGAAGGGGAAGAGGGAAGGAGTGTGAGAAATGAAACAGATGCCTGTGTCAGTGCAGCACAGATTGAGGATCCTATTGCTGGGTTAGAACAGGCAGGCATTAGTTCAACTACAGTCAAACCCCATTTCTCAGACAATAACACCACAGCTAACGCATCAGAGGAGAAATTTCCCTTTGTTTCATCCACCTGCTCTCCTGACAAAGGGACCTCCTCAGAGGAGGTGGAGACAAGTGTCCCTGTCATCCCAGGGGGCTACCTGCAGACCCTGTTAGATGCCACAGACTCCTCTAGTGGAGCAGCTATCTCATATTTCCCCCAGCAGTCCTCTAGGCAGCAGTATTCTCTGGGGCTGTCCCTGGAGGAGAAGCAGTTTTCCTCTCTGCAGCTTGCTCAGAGCTGTGTCCTCTCACCTCCATCTGAGTCGGAGCTCCAGCAGTCTCCCCAAAACTGCCCTAGCTTTCCCCAGATGTGGCACCCACAGCTGTGTGCAAATCACAACCAGAGCTTTGGGTCTGAGACCCCTGAGACTCCCATCTTACCCAACACCTTCCCTGCTGCTGTGCCCCTGAATGACAACCTGCCAGTGTCTAACTACAGCCAGTTGAGCCCTGAGGCTGACAGGCTGCTTTATGAGAAGAGCTACCTGACTGAGGCGGGGCTGCAGCCTGGGGCAGATCTGCAAGTGTGTCAGTCTGCCTGTGTGGAGGGCCAGGTGCAATACCAAAGAGGGTCCCTGTGCACAGACAATGGGAGGCTCATCAGCTATGACTCAGTGGGCTCTCTGTCAGCCTCCTCCAGCAATTACAGCTCTCTCAGCCTCAAGTCTTGTGAGCGAGAGGGTGAGGAGGAAGGCCGAGACAGCTTCTTAGCTCATTGCAGTCCTAAAGTGGTGATTCAGCAAAGTGTGGATGCCCTTACCCCACTCAGGGAGTCCTCAGACCTGCTGGATATCTCCAACTTCACTCCTGACAAGTTCAGACACTCATCGCTGTCAGAGCTTTCCCCTCCTGAGACCCCCAATTTGTCCCCCCAGGTGGTGGGGCGTGAAATGAAGATGGCAGGCAATGTTGGAGAGTACCAGGATGTGAATGATATGACTATAGACTGCAACAGGGAGGTAAAGTGGAACTGTGATGCCATACAGCAACAAGAATGCACTGCAAATGCATACACGGTAGAGGATAGCCAGTTTCCACTGCACAACTTCAACAGTCAGGATGTCATAGGTTTAGATAAAAAGGAGCTGGGAGTTACTGAATTTAATGAACAGACTGGTGCGAAAAACATAAAGTCAAAGAGGAAAGGTAACTGCAAACAGACAGCTGCAGGACAGAGCCCAAAGAAAGCCCGGGCACCCAGAGCTCCCAAGTCTGAAAAGGTCAAAACTCCCAAACAGAACTCTCGGTCGACCAAAAAAATAAAGGCCATGTTAGAGGGCAAGGCAGCAAAGAACCAAGCAGGTGGCACAGGCCTGACTGACAGTAGCAGCACTGGGGACTGGCCTGGCACCGGCTGGTCAGAGAACAACAGCCTGGTAGGAGATGACCAGAGAGAATTTGAGGAGCCTTCCAATATTCTGTCCAACATCGTCTCCGGCATGGCCGAGGTCCAAAGATTCATGATGGCCTCTATCGAGCCACTGTGGAATCCTATGTCTGAGGCGTGCATGCCCTCAGAGGCCAACAGCCTCAACCTAAAGACCCTCAAAATCTTAGCTGGAACGGAGGCTGACCTGAAGAAAAAAGGATCTGTGCTAACGGGAGCCGGCAGAGGCAGAAAGTCTGGAGGGAAAGGAGGCAAAAATCAGGCCAAATTCACGCCATCTCACCCCCTGTTCCCTCAGTTAGCACTGGGCTGCAACATGTTCGATAAACCCAGCTTTATTAACCCCGGGCCTGCGCACAAAAAGCTATACCGCCACAAGACAAGCGCTAAGTTCCCTCGGATTGAGACACTGAAGGGGAAACGAGCTGAGAGAGACCCAAATAAGGACATAGCACTGATGACCTCTTTTGAGAAACTGAGGTAATATTTTGTTATCAGCGGCTGTTGTTCTCCTTCTCACTTTCCCCCCTCCACTACCTGCTCAGCCTCCCTCCCTCCCAAACATACCTACACTGACGCTATTCCAGAGCTGCATGAGTTACTACGATTCCCCCTGACAACTCCCACTTCCTTTTAACCCCCCCTCCCTTCCTGAAGAGGAAATGATTATCTGCATGAAAAACATCTTGTAATTTGCAAACTACCTACTGAGTGATTGTGTCCAGCTTGATTGAGATTTGAAACGACCATGGCTGCATTTCTTTCTTGCTTTCGTTGTTTCTGCTTTGTTTGTTCTTCTTATAGTTGTTTTACTTTTGTCTGAAAAAAAAAAAAAGAGAATAAGCCTTGAAAACAGCTCTGTCGCCTTTTTTTGAGGAACTTTATAGCTTTTTTTTGTATCTTCTCAGATGAACTAGCTCCCCTGAATTGAGATTTCCTTTTTTTTTTTTTTTGTTGCTTTTCCCTAAAGATGTAGCTATATACACAAATGCATTGAGTGACATCTACGCATCCCATCCCCCCTCCTCATCTGTTTTTGTATGCAGAATATGGATGTCCTGTTGTTGCTGTTCTTCATACACTGCCTGGCTCATTTCAAGAGGGAAGCCTACACTTAATGAGCCCTATTTAAGCCCAAGACATCTTTAAACACAAAAAGATGGGACCATTTTGTATCGTTGACATATCAGACACCTTGTCTTTTTTCTTTCTTTCTACCCTCAAAGTTGGAATGACTCCCTGTGTTCTTTTACTGAGTGTATCTTTTACTTGTGGAGTTTTAGAGGAACTGGTGATATAAATTTACATTTTTACGCCTTGCAAATTCATAAAAGCTCCACCCTCAGAGTATTTTTGTCAATGTTGTTGTACAGAGGACATGCAATATTTGCAAAAAAAAAAAAAGACGAAGAAAAAAAAAGATGATTATAATTTAAAAATCAATGTGCCAAAAGTAACAATGCTGTGTAAATGACCTCTTATATATGTGTGAATATTGGCTGTTCCTCTTTTTCTATCCATCGGAATATTGGCTGCTCGGATTGGAGGCTCCTCGCAGAGACTTGCAACTACAGGAATTCTTCATTTGAGACTTTATTCTCTCTCTCTTTCTCTCTCTTTTCTCTGATGAAAGGCACCAACAGCTGGCAGTGGTACGCCACCACTCATGAAACCAAATCGAAAAAAGACTATATTCTCCTTGTATATTTTTTCTTTCATTCTTTCCTTTTTTAACCCCCTACTTTGTTTGCCAAATTCGATTTACCTCAACATCACCTGGCACTGAGATGCAACAAAAGAGAGGCAAAGGGGAGAGCTGCACCGAAGGCCACTGCAAAGGAAAGGAGATTAAAAAAGGACGTTCAAATGAGCCCTCTCTGGACCAAGAGGGAGTGTAGTGCAGATGTCTGAGGGTAAGCAAGGAAATTACTTGTCGTTTTGCGGGGCTGCGCCTCACTGAATAGCTGTTTGTACTGGAAATTTAAGGCAGATTATGACTCGCAGAGATTCTGATGCATGCATCAGTGGTGGATAGACATTTTTGCAGTTCGGTTTTATTGTGAATGTGAACGCAGTTTTCAGTACAAATGGAATCAGTAGTCTTGTAAATGAAAGGAAAGCATGTGTTTGCATTTGCTCCATATGAAAATTTTTACTTCTATCTTACAAAAATAATAATAATAATAAAAAAATACTCATTTAAACAGAAACTTTATTTAACATTCACATGCATTTTGTTTATTTAACACTGCCTTACGTTTTAAGTTGCACGTCCGTCGTCTTACATTATTTGATCCTATTTTTATTTAGCATAACGTCTACAACCTGTTTTTTATTTGTTGATGTTTAATGTATCTTTATGTTATCTCTTAAGGTCTATGCCTGTCATTTCAGGGTCAATTTTCTGACAGAAAATATTGTGACCTGTAATTTAAAAATGAGGATTTTCTTTTTAAATTTCTAATTTCTGTCTGTTAATTTGGGCTCATTCTCTACCTCAGAGCACTGATAAAACATCTAGTAATCCACCTTAAAATAGACTATACAATCATTTTTAATCAGTTAGGAAAATCTTTAGCTAGTATAAGGAGCCAATCGCACAGATACAGAAAAATAAGCCTTTGTTTTCACTCTTCTTTAAAAAAAAAAAAAAAACGTTATAATTTTGAACGTAGCAGACACTACATGTAGACCTGTGCAGACAAATTGAATGACTGATCTGAAAACAGGCCTCGTCACACTGGATATGATGCTCCTGACAAGCAGGTTATAGTAATTGATTGCTTGCATATGGCGAGGATCCTAATCAATCTCTCTGTGTCTTATTTGTGTCTCTGCCATGCTCCTTCGTTTGAGTTTCTCTAAGAGTTATCAGGGTTAGGACCAAGACAAGCTGCTGATGGGAAGCTCCACATTGGGCTGTGGGCCCATTTAGTCTGCCTTCTCTCATTTCTGCCTATTGTCAAATTGAATGTACTTCCTTTGGTTTTAAATTTTCATTTGTTTCTAAAAATGTGCCACTGTTGAGCTGCCTCATGTTAATGGTGCTAAGGAAGCTGACAATTCTTTTTCTTTATGGTTTGATTTTATTTTTTCTTCTATTTTATTTCCCCCAGAGTTAAAAAAAAGAAAAAAGAAATGCAAAATAGATTAGGTACCTAACCCTCTTTATGAATGTATATTAAAATGTTATGTTTGATGTATTCACTTCATGATTCTTTGACACTGATTGGAATTACGTTTGCTCTTTTCATTAAAAGATTACCGAGCTTTATATATACTGTCTAGAGTTGTTACCAGAAGGAATCTTAATGAACTCTTGACACGACAAAAATCTTGTATATTTTTTGTGTGCCAATTTGTAACATATTTTGTAAGTGTATATTTTTCTTAGAAAGTGCTGTGAAGTATTTGTGTGTGTGTGAGTAACCTTTTATGCGCCTCCGTGGGCAGTGGAAAAGGATATACGACGACGATGACGACGACGACGACGACGAGTCCCTGGTTTTAAAAACCAAAATATGAAAGTATCGACAGGAAAACTAGAACTATTTACATTTTGTTGGGAGTTTTGTAATAAGATCATGATCTTGTTGTGAGAGTGTTGTGTTACTGTGCAAAACACAAATAAGCAAAGAAAAAAGTGAAAAGTCAAGGAAAAAATATAATTTGTGAACAATTTGCTGTTTTATAGATTTTCATGTAAATTATTTGAGTATTATTATTATTTTTTTGGTTAATTTTCTTTTTTGTTTGTTTCATTTTGTTTTGTTTTGTTGTAACTGTTGCAAAGGTTTTAAATATTTGTGATCAAGCCTGTACGGTGATAATGTAATATTGGTAACTTGCTGAGTTTTGTAATAATGTTTATGGAGTAAATATACAAATTAAAATAAGATTTTGAATGCTGCTTTCTGAAGAGAGTTGATTTGTGTTTATTACCTACATCACAAAACATTACACTGTTTCCTTTTGTGCAAACAATTGTTTTGTACAAAGAAATAT